TCTATCGGGACACACGGTAGGGGGCAAAGGGGTGGGGGTGGGGGATAAAAACAAAGGGGCGGGATGTGCGAGGTGGTAAAAGCCTAAAACAACACAAAAGTCCCTCGGAGGGGTTCAAGGAGGGAGGAAGGAGCAGGGAGAAAATATGGTTGAAAGGAGCTGAAAAGCGGAAGCCTCCGGGGTGCCGGGACTGGAGCCCCTTGCGTCCTCCCCCCGTCCCCCCCACCGCTCTGTGGGACTGCTCTCCGTCTTCCTCCTCCATTCTCTCTGCAACCCTCTGAACGGCCAAATTCCAGTTTTTCAGAAAGGAAAACCGCAGGTTGTGTATTTGAGAGAAAGAAGTCCCAAAGAAGATGGAGGACAGAAAACAACTCAAGCTTCCTGTGGCTTTTCAGAACCCACCACACATCTCCTGCCCTTAGCCCCCCAACCCGCTTTCCAAAGAGCACTTGGTAGAGAAATATGTTGTTTACTGTGGTGTCTGGGGGAACAACTAGTCTCTCACGACTCCTGGACCCCAGTGCTCACCACAAACAACCAGTGAAGAGGTGGGCAAAGCAGAGGGGAGAGGGGCTCCGGCCTGAGCAAAGATGCAGGATGCAAACCAGCCAGTACACGCTCAGGGACCTTGCAAAGTACCTACCGATTTCTCCAGAACCCTGTCACGAACACATCTTTACAGTCGGGTCTTTGAACAGGGTTTAGGATTTATATCCTATGAAGCCACAGGAAAGACAAACCAAATTTAAAGAAAAGAAAAAACTAAAAATTCAAAAGATTTGTAGCTTTTGAGAGATGAGGAGGAATGTCCCTCTCCATCTTTGGTGCAGTGAAAAATTTCCATTATTTCCCCATTTACATGAATTCTTATTGATCAGACCTGTCTACTGCAAACCTGATGCTAGTTTATAAATACAGTGCCACAGTCTGATACCCATCCTAAGCCCCAGCCCCACTAAAGCCTCTTAGTGGCTATTAGACTATTTTCCTTTTCAGACCAAGGCCATTCTAGAACTACCATCATATTAAATTAGGAGAGACTATTTCACTGAGCAGAGATCACAGTAAGGTGATGGGTACCAAGAAGAGAAAGGGTCATGTTTCCCGCCTGCTTGTCCCTGACTTCAAGAACACTCTAATTTATAGAGGTTTCTGTAACTTAAAAGGGATGAAGTTTTCAAAATGCACAGGCTAATTAAATTATATGAGCACCTAAAGATATTAAAACAAACAGCAACAATAAAAACAGCTGAGCTGAAGTGCTTAGCTCTTAAGGAACCTGCTGTATTAAGCTGGCTATGCCAAAAGATTTTGCATGCGTATTCTCGAATAAAGAGAAATAATGAGATCAATGTTAAAGAGATGGAATTGACCATGCCTATCAAGCTGATAAGTACTAATTTCAATAAAAATCAACTGCAATTTAGTTTTTACGATTTGACTAGGTACTAAAAGGTTAAAAATCATCAAAAAGGTTAAAAATGCAGTGATTCTTGGACTAGAGAGCATAGTGAGATTTTACTTCCAAACAGAAAGATGGATTGTGCTTTGCATCTCCAGGCTCTCTCTCAGGTATGTACTGGCCAATGAGAGATCCTGGTGAGGCAGGGAGAGTATTAGGTGCCTCCTGTGACCTTGGGAACGGCTTGCCTGTAAGGCAAGTAGAGGTGTTTGGAATCTCAAGGTTTTTTATTTTTTTTCCTCGATCATAATTATTAAACCAACTAATTGCTAAAAATCTAACCAAAAAAAAAGAAAAAAAAAAAAGAAAGAAAGAAACACCACCCCCTCCCCCTAAATGAACAGATTGCTTTTCGTCCTTCCATTTTGACAGAGAAAGCGTTGAGAGCTGTATCTCAACGCTTTGCAAGAGATGTTTGGGCAGAAGAGAAACAAGTCGAGTACTGGAATGTCAGGCTTTGGATACAGCTCGAAGAGTCTAACGCACCAGCTGGATTTCATGCCAGGCAAAGTACGTGTGCACCTGTCCACAGACGGGGTTAGAGACAGCAAGCCTCTTATTTAGGGCAGTGGAAAAAGTAGTGGGGGAGTGAAAATCCATGGTTCTAGACCAGTATCATCTCATGCTCCTGGGTACGTGCAACCCAGGAGACGGGTTTTGGTTTTGGTATAAGTATGTCCCAAATACTACATGGGTCATGCTTATGCTAAAAAGAGGGGAAACTGTTGTGGTTAAAGAACCTACAAATTCAATGAATTTGCTAGTCAACCTTAGGACTGAGAACCAAAGGAATATATAAGAGCAGAGGTCCAGGGGATTTCAGGTGACACAGTAATTTGGGACACTGAGAAGGTAGGCTCATCATCTTCAAATGAAGAGGACAGAAAGTAATGGTTAAATCTGGCCACAAATTATTTGCAGCCCCTCTCATGGAGCAGTGGGGGCCATTTCCTCCTCCCCTGAGTCAGGGCCAGCTCTTTGATCCATTTTAGTGAATAGAATACTACAGAGATGATGCAGAACTTTCCAGCCTGGCCGCAGGACATCTGGAAGCTTCCATCCTCCTGAAGCCCTAGGTCCATCATGCCATAAAGAAGCCTGGGATAAAAGAACAGGTATAGGGAAAGGCTCCAGGTGTCCCAGGCATTCCAGTCATCTCAGCTGAGAGCGCCGGGCATATGGGGGAGTCCATCTTCGCTACAGACTCAGTCACAAGTGCGGTCCCCTGCAGCCTCATGAGTGAGACCAAGTGAGATAGAGAGAGGTTTCCAGAACTAGGGGCGGGGGGAGGCTGGAACTCTAGCTTTTCAGGAGAGGTAGAGGAAGAGAGAGAGAGACAGAGAGAGACAGAGAGAGAGAGAGAGATCCTAAATTGTGTTAGCATTCAAATAGATGGCCAGTGTCTCACCTAACTCCAAAGAGGAGATGTGGGTATTGAATAGTTCAAGGTATGTGAGTAAGCATTCAATCCCATTGGGTAAAGGACAAACTAGGAAGAAAGGACTAAGAAGGGACAAGCAGACAGCAACCAGGAGTATTTACACTTGAGCTAAAGACACATAACTGGACAGTATGTATTTCTAAAGCACATCTGCATTTTGTGCAGGAAAAACCTTGACATCTTTTCTATTAAGAGAAAAATTGCCTGTGGGGCTGGGTCCTAACATTTGCTTTTGCCTCTCACCAGCTTTGGGAGAAGCCACTATGGGAAAGAGAAAACACCTGTGTGTGTGTGTGTGTGTGTGTGTGTGTGTGTGTGTGTGTGTGTGTATGAAGGAGGCAAGTAGAGACTATGCCACCATTGCTTTGTAAGTCTTGCCCAAAGTGAAATGCTTTCACTGCAGGGGGTAAAATGAGCAGGGGAATAGAGATGAAAAGACGTGGGGCGCCTGGGTGGCTCAGTTGGTTAAGCGTCCGGCTTCAGCTCAGGTCATGATCTCACGGTTCATGGGTTCGAGCCCCACATCAGGCTCTGTGCTGACAGCTAGCTCAGAGCCTGGAGCCTGTTTCATATTCTGTGTCTCCCTCTCTCTCTGACCCTCCCCTGCTTGTGCTGTCTCTCTCTCTGTCAGAAATAAATAAAAACATTAAAAAAGAGAGAGAGGGAGATGAAAAGATGCACACCAGAGACACGTTTCCAAGAACACAGCCTAGGACCTAAGGTTCCCAGGGTAGCCTGGCTTGGGGCTGTCTGGCCCAGCCTCCAAGGGGAAAGAAACGGTCTAATGACTACCATCCTACTTAAACACCTTTTCTTTTTCCAAAGCATTCACCATTCTTTCCACCATAACTCAGGCCAAGGGTTCGAGTAAACTCTTCATGGTGAGAAGGAACTGAAGACAAAACAAGGTGAGTCATATGTAACTGACATTTGACGTGTCACATCCTGACACAGGATGTGTTTAGTATAAGCATCTGAAATATAACAAGTGTGTGACCAATGTTATCTACCTGTGGCTTTACAATAGGACTTAATCCATCTGTATAGAACTGTTTTCAATTCCATTCTGCATATGATTTTTTCACTGGAAATTGCCTGACAATAGTGACTATATTGTGTGTGCATGTGCACATGTGCACGTGTGTGTGTACACTGGCCCATGACAGGTCATTCCTATTAGGCACTCCACAAATATCTGTGGAACAACTGAAGGGAATAAGACATGTGTTGAACTGAATAAAAAGAGGAGTAAAAAGTAATGTGCATGTCTATTCATATGCTTACTATTTATAGCCTGAACCTGGATGCCACAGTGTCATTGCCAGGGCTCACAGAAATCTTCCAGGGTCTCCGGGTCCCTGTATCTAGCAAAGCTAGAGGCTAACTCCACTCCTCCCTTGTCAAACACAGCCGAGCCATGCAGATCTTTCCCCTTTACTCCTGTTCTTTATTCCCAGAAACACCATAAACATGGGAACCTAAAAGCAGAGGTCAAGATCTGGTGTCTGTCCATGTGTTTATGCCTTTAAAGGGCCATTAGAGGAAGATGCCTAAGTAGCTGCTAGACGTAGTAATCACCTAACTACAGAATACATGAGAGCACCAGATGTTTTTAAAGAAAATGAAATGTGTCTTATTTTGAAAAGATGAATGAGATTCAAACAGGGACAAATAAAGAGAGAGAGAGAACCCAGGAAGCTGGAAAACAACAACAACTGTGCTCATTAATCCTCAGAATGATTAGCTATGAACGCAGATTTGGTACCTTGTCCCAGCCAGTCAACTTAATGCTCTTCCCAAAACAATACAGCATGTTATGTCAGGTTGCATTTGTTTTTGTCTTTTATTTTTTAATGAGTCAGCTCAAAAATATCCTGCAAAGACCTTGGTATGAAAATTATTTCGCTGAAATGTATGGTTATGGTGACCGACATGTGTCAGTAGTCTGCAATTCTGTCAGCCTCAAATAAGCAGGGGAGATCAGCGAAAATTTGGAGAGCATTTCTGAACATTCTGAACATAGCCTGGAAGAAAGTCCACCTAGAAAATTCAATTATTTCATGGAGAAGTGATCCTTGGTTCACTGTGCCTACTCACCGTGGTCAAGGATATATTTCACAATCTCCCCGTTGCCGGTTTTAGCTGCATGGTGAAGGAGTGAACAGTGGTCTGGTCCCTGAATTAGCAGACTGCCTCCATTTTTATAGCTTTCTATTAGCTGAAAAAGAGACATATGAAAAGAAGCTCAGGCAGAGTCCGGAAGAAGGAAAACAGTTAACCGGTGATAAAATAAGAATAATGGAGCAAACCACAAATGTTTCTAGCCTCAGAGGACACAGAAAAGTCAAAAGGATGAAGTAACATTCCTGGTCTGTGTTATCACTCAAATAGATGGCCAGCATCTCACCTGACTCCAGAGAGGGTCTACGGGCACTGAACAGCCTAAGGAAACTGAAACATGCTGAGTTACTTATTTCTTTTCTGTTTTATGTCTTTTTCTTTTCTGGGCACTGGTCTCCATCCCTAGGGAGTTAAGGGCAGTGAAGAGACTAAATGTTTTCCTATGTTGGCTGAGCTTTCTCCTGAGTGAAAGGATAATTAAGGCTGTAGACAGGAATAGCTTGGTGTCTGGTAGCTGAGCTCCTTTCCTCACCCATAGTTTTTCTTCAATCTCTAATGAACCTAGCTACCAGATCTAGAAGCTACTTTCCATTTTCCTGCAGGAGATCATGGCACACGTGCACATGGCAGACGTAAGCACACACCCGAATGGCCTCCTTCTTCATCCCGATCTGCAGCCCAGCCTCACGCCTTCTGTTAACCATCCAACCCATACCCAACAAGGCTAGAGGTGATCCGCAGGATGAGAATCAAAGGATTCAGAGAATGTAGTAGTAGAAATCTAAAATACCTGTGAGAAGAGACTAGAAAAAAACTTATAGATTTTGCAGCTTGAGAATAATGAGGTCAAGTAATGATATGGTCTAATTTCATGAAATATTGAACATCATAGAGTGTAAATGGGTGTCTGGTCTCCAAACTGAAGCAGAGCAGAACAAAAGAATCTTTCTGGAGCTTATAAAGGGTAGTTTTAGGACAAATAAGAATAAAATAACCCAGGAGGTACTAAGCAAAAGAAATGTACAACTATCACCAAGAATTAGATGGCACTTACTAAAAAAAAATCAAACATCTCATAAGATCAAAGACAGTAAACTCGTAGTTCATGATTTCAGTCATATCCAACCATGGTACCATCATGTGCTAGATGCCAGGGAAACAAATATAAACAGGACTCAGTCACTGGCCTCAAGACCTCACGGTCCATGGGGGGGACAGATGTGCAAAGACAGATACAGGAATGGAGAAGAACATGAGGAGGTTGTCGGGGTAAAGAGGAGTCACAGAAGACTTTCTAGAAAATAGATCAGAAAGGAATAGTGGGATGGAAGTAGAGAACATATGGGGACTTTCATCACTAAACTACAACGCTACAGGACAGCAAGAGGTAGCTAGTAGTTTTCCACAAAAAAAACCTAACCATATCCAGTACTGCTCAATGATAGTCTTACAATGATACTCCCTTTCTTTATAGGCAGATGCACAAAGGATTCGAGCTCAACAGAGAAGCACAGACCCATCTGTCAGCTGCCTTGATCGTGCCTTTCTGTGGTGTTTTTGGACACTGTGGACCTTCAGTTAGTCCATGGGTATCTTATGCCACCAACTTACACAGCAGCTACTCCCAATAGCCTTCACAGTGACCACTGGGTTCTTCTGTTTTCTGTCATTTGGTGTGCACTCTCTCTCTTACACACATAGTTTAATAGTTAATGTGTATTGTGCTTTTTACATGGAATAGAGAAATATAAGAAGATGGGGAAGAAGAAAGAAAAGGAAAAGAAAAACACTTGGGAAGGAAAGAAGGTAAAAGAATGAGAAAGACACACCCTAAGTCACTATATTTCATCTCTCAATAAATAAGGTTAAGTAACTTCTCAGGCACTTGGGGAATGATTATAACAGAGAATGTAGTAAGATAACCAAGTGAATATAGTAATTTCCCATATTTCAAATAGTTCTTTATTAAGTATGAAAAAAGTGTGGCTATATATCCAGGGACCGGGAAAATATGTTGCCTAGGCTAAATACATAGACAAAATTAAAAAGGATTTCAAATATACAGGAGTTTGCATATTTTTTTGGCTTAGAACCTCTTTAAGGACAGGAATCACGTCTTACTGCCCAAAGCATCTCATATAAGGCTTTGCAGGGAGTATAGGGTAATTGTGGTTTAATCCACTGCTGGGCAACAGCATCGAAGTCCTAGGTACACCACTTGGAGAGTGCTTTTCTCTTGTGGGTGACAATGGCTGGTAACATATTGATCTAGGCAGTAGTACAGGCGCCATTTTCAGGATTACATGTTTAAAGATGGTAATTTATCAGGATGCTTGTGACCTTCTCACTGTTTGTTCCTATTAGTAACCTGTTAATATTGTAGCCCAGGGGTTTCTCAGTTTATTCAATAGATGTGCTTCAGAAGAAGTTGAATGCAAGGTCAGTGCTTCTCAGTTTTCTTTTAAGGCTTTTGGTTTCTTGATCTGCAATGGCACCATACCCCACAGGCTGGTGAGTAAGTAGAGCCTCTGTCTCCCTCGGTTGGCCAGTGGGGGTTATAGAGGGACAGACAGGTAGTCATAATTCCCAATGCCTGAAAATGACATGAAACTAAATACAACTTTTAGAATACTGGTGGACTCTACTATACTTTATAACAAATATTTGCATCTCCACTGTAAAGGTTTATTAAAAAGACACAGGCTAACACTAGTAGCTGGCATTTCAGAGTTGCTTCTGTGTAATAAGAACAGTCTTAAGAGCTTTACATGTATTGTTACATTCAATCCTCACAACAAAGGATAGAGGCAACACTATTCAATTTTACAGATGGAGAAACTGAGGTACAGAGAGAATGAAATAATGTGACAATGAATGGCAGAGCCAAGATCTGAACCCGGGCAGTCTGACTCCTGAATCTGTATTCACTCCAGAGGCAGCAGTGACCACTTCCTTTCCTCTGAACTAAGAAAACATGCACACGAATGAACATGCTCAAAGGAGATCAGACCAAGCATCTTCATGGTTAACTGTGATCCCTGAAGGACAAAACTATAATCATGGTGGAAGCTGTAGGCTCTGGCCTGGAGAGTGTATTTCCAGGTATTGTCCAGATTATGCACTCATTTCAAGATCTGTCTGAAAAGAAACCTTAAAACCCCAAATATCAGCTCCTAGGGAGCAGGAATTTGGGGTGCTGTGAGCTCTGCATCCTGGGAACATGTAGTCCATGTTATGAGTGGAGGCAACCAGCACAGCACCCCTGAACACATCCTTGGCTGTCAGGAAATGTGGAGATGCTGTGAAGACTCCCCTGGCCCTCTCTGCCCAGAAGAGCATCCTTCCCCTTTCAGGTCAGCTAGCACAGCAGGGGCATGATTGATGACATATGAGAGATCATGAAAATTTGGTGAGAAATGAGGTTAAAGTTCTTAAAGAATCACCAAAAATTTTGGTAGGAAGATATCTTACCTTCATAAGATCACCAGCTATTACTGCCTGCAAAATTGCTGTGAAAGACAAAAGAGAGATGTCCCATTAGTAGAAGACCCTCTCATCAAAATACCACAAAGGGTTGGATCCACATTTTGCAGAAATAGTCTACATTGGGGGCAGCAATCAGGGAAGGAGAATCATGCCAAGAATCTTGCATTAGGCTAAAGCTTTCTCTTTAGCTTCCACTCATCATTCCATCCATCCATTCCATCCATCATTCTAGAGTCTGCCTGAAGACCCCCTCATGAAATTTGGAGTCACAGAGATTAGGTTCAAATCTTAGCTCTGACACAAGCTGTGGAACAATGGGTGAATCATGGAAGCCCCCCTGAACCCGGTTTCTACATAAACATCAAGTCTGAATCTCACAGAATTACTGAAATGACTGATTAAACCATATGAATGTTCTCAACTCATCTACTGAGGCAGGCTAGGTGCCTAACTATGATTTTTTTTTTTTTGCTCTCTTCTTTCCAGTTCCTTCCACTGTGTCCTCTGGAGTTCCAAAAATTATTAGTAATTTTGTTATGTAATGAGAAACAAATACTTAACTTCTATGGAAATAAAGAAGATAAATAAATATAATATTATAAATAAATATTAAATAAACAAATATTACAAATAAATAAACTATAATAAATAAATAAATAAGAGTAGTAGAGAGGGGACATGTATACTTTAATTATGTTCCGAAGAAAATAATCATGTGGTCAGCATCTCATCCACTGACAACTCATATGGAAAGAACTCTGAGAGTCTTAGGACACCAAAACTAGTTGCAAAAACATGTAGTTTTAGGGGCAAAACTAGTAGTGCACATACATATAGGTCATGTGGGAGGTACAAGGTGGGTAAGAAGAGATGACTGATTCACAAGGGCAAGAATATGTGAGCATCTAATGACAGCAATGGCTCCCCAGGGGAACATTTGTCTTGGGTTGGAAATGGTCCCTTTAAAAAATAAATACCTAAATTCTAGAACTACTCAAAAAATAGATTATTTTAAGGCTTGAATGGCATAGAATTTTAGAAGAAAGTAACTTCAACTTTAAATTTCTCGAAGTGGCTTTTTATTCTCGTTTACTCTCACGAAGAGTTAGCCAAAAGCACCATGTCGTGCATCCAAGTGCACAGAGCCCTGGGGCGGCACTGACACAGACCTCAAGGTTTTCACACCGAGTACTTACCGGCCCTGAGTGATCAGATGCACCACAGGCTGCTTAAACCCGTTCACTGGCCCAGGGCTGAGGGCCCTGCCCTTGACCACAGCAGAAACCATGAAAAAGCCATGGAAATAAGGAGGGCTGCTCGTGCACTTGAGGAGGACACAGACAGAAAGGACAGAAAAAGGAGGAGAATGGGAAAAAGAAAGAATGTTTCCTTTCATAATAGGCTGTAGGCATCTCCCTGGGATTCTAGCGCAAGGCTCTTTACTGTATGGAAGAGCAATGATTAGCTGAGGGAGTGATAAAGGCAGAGAGAGAAAAGGAGTCAGATGGGAGAAAGGTGGAAACAGAGAGGGAATTAATAAAAGGTTAACATCAAAAGGACCCCAAGAAACATATGTCTCCCTCTTCTTACTATACATGAGGACACTGGAGTTCAGTGTACACTGTCTACCTCAGGGCACAGAGCCAGTAGCGGCCCAATCGCTGCTGTAATACAGGGCCCTGTGTCCAGCCCAGGCCTCTGTCCGGTGCCCTCCGGGAGCTCACCAGGCAGAGCTGCACCAGGCCCTGCGAGGCCTGCACGAAAGGGAAAAGAGTAGCCTTTATAGGCTATCAAGCCTTTATAGTGCTGTGAAAGGGCACTGGATTGGAGTCTAATTCTAAACTCAACGTAGCAGACATGTAAGCTTAACAAGTCAATGTTTGTGAACCAATTTTCTTATTTGTAAAGTAAAGGTAAGAACTGCTCATCTCGATAGGAAGAATAAAACGAAGAAACAAAAGCTTTTTAAGTAGATATATCAACAGAAGGGGTCATTTACAGTACTTTTGTGACGGTACTTAACTACCTGAAGACAGATGCACAGACACTGCAGAAGGAGCCTAGAAGGAAGGGTAAAATTGGTACGGGAAGTCAAGCACACATATCGTGTCAACACAGCACCTATGAGATGAAAGGCACGGACGAAGGAGTCAACGGACAGTGCTTAACCCTCTGAGGTAAACCCTACATCAGAGTTCGGAGAGGGAGAAGCAGGAATCAATATTAGCCAATCACAACTCTGCAAGAACAAATCAGTTCACGCCTTTATACTATAGGATGTTCTCTTGACTGAAGTAGAATATCCATATTAGGAAAGGAATAAGGTTAGGGAAATTGCCTGAGGGGGCAGTTAATGCAGAGCTTGAAACAACAAAGAACATCAAAACAGTATAAGAGCCTATTTTTTCAAGATTGTATTGAAACACTTCCCGGAAATCAAAAGAAAAAGAGAAATAGGGAAAAGAAGAACAATGAATTCATTAATTTAACGCACTTGCGTAATAACATTTGGTGCATATAACCAATAAATGAAGACAGTAAAGGAACTCCCCAGGACAAAGTCTACTGAAGGAGAACCAGGAAGGAGAGAAAGAAAAGGAAAAGGGAAGAAAAGGAAGAGAGAAAGAAAGAAAAGAGAGAAAGCTATTAGAAACCGGGGGAAAACTTCCTGGCTAGCTGTGGAGTTCAAAGATTTCTTGGAGGAGGTGACATTTAAGCCAACTCTTCATGGTAAGAGGAATTAATTAGCAAAGAGGATTTGGAAAATCCGTGCAAGATGAAGGTAGGATCTGAACAAAAGACATGGAAGTTAAGTCGAGATTCTAACGGAAGCTGAGAAGTGCTGTATATTATCCACCCTGAGGTGAGGAGTGGTCTCAGATAAGAAGCTGCAGAGTCCGAGGGGTCCCCTCCCCCATGTGAGCACCTCTTCTGTCAAGATAAAGCACTTGGAGTTTGTCCTGCAGGTGACGAGAAACTACTGCAGAGTTCAAAGTAAACCAGGGAAGCACATAAATGTCAACCGTGCCAGTTTGATCGTACCCTTCCCCTCCTGGAAAGAGAGTTATGACCTGCTCTCTGCTCATTTTCTCCAGATTGCCCACATTATAGCCTCTTTAAATGTCTACCCCAGACTCATTTCACAAGCACTGCTATGCTTGTTGGTTTCCAGCAGTTTCCTGGTTTAAAGTCCCCATGAACAGGCAGAGGATCATATAACAGAATCATAACCACAAATAATTTCCAATTGTACTGGAGATGGAAAGCGTGAATATTTATTTTTAAGTTGAGCCATATACCCAAGGGTAGCTATTATGCAAACATTATTAGGCTCAAGGCTCACTTCTCTCTCCTGATTAATGTCCTTCCCCATGAACACTATTGTTTAAGATTTCCTCTGCATACAGAGAGCTTGCATCTATTAGTATTCAACTCCAGACTGTAACCTTTTGAAAGATCAAGCTTAAAAAAAAAACAACAACAATAATGAGTTGTGATGATTACAGCATTATTCTTTATTATTTCTCAGTCTCCAAGCTTGCCTTCCTGCCTTTTCCAAAACTCTTTCCAGCTGGGGAAATCATACTCCCAAATGCAAAGAAGGAAAGTCAAATTGCTAAGCGGAGGTCAAGGTTATGGAGTAAATGGATAGTAAGCTTCCTGGACAATTAAATCACATAAACCTACATAGTTAGAGGAGAGTAAGGGAGTAGAGAACTGAGCAGATTGTCATTTTTAGAGCTTAGAAGCTGAATCATTATTCATGTGAAATGGTTGCTTTTTCCTTCAGTGCTATACCTTTCAGTAAACTGCTATCTAGTAAACACCATAAGACAGAAAGCTGGAACTGAGAAGTCAGGACTTCCAGAAAGGAATCCCCATCTTCCTTCTCAGTCTTGGGCCTCAATTCCCAAGTCTGGATATCCTCAGAAATGTGTGCATGGAAGGAACGAGGCTATCTGCTGGAATCAGGATAAGGAGAAAACAATCCCTGGGATCACTGGCCAGCCACCTTCCCAGCGGTGCCGCCCTCTGTTCGAGGTTCTGGGGATACCATGCACAAAGCAAACTCCTTCCCTTGCTGGGAACTGATATTTTGGCAAGAAGTCCCAATTAGGAAGGGATAGATGGGAACTGAGTCAGAATGCCCGAGTTTAAGCCCTGTGAGCACGATTAACTAGCTGTAAACTTGGGCAAGTTACAGTGTACCAAACATCAGTTTTCTCATTAGAAAAATGAAATAAAGTCAGTCTTTTTTGAGACTCTGCCTTACAAGTAAGCTCAAGGAACAGAGGATCTGACTATTATGGTCTTCTTTGTAGAACACCATGGAATACTCATGTTTTTGACCTCATTACACAGAAAAAGAACCATTTCTCACCTATGAGAGGAGAAGGTTAGATTAAGGCCAATTACAGCTGTAGACTTTGGCATATGACTACTTCCAAAGGGAGAGCTTAAGGTTGTGGTTTTTTGCTATGCCAATGAAAATATTTAATAAAAAGCATACAGGACTTGGCAAAGCTATGTGTATGTAGTTCTCAATAAATCAAGTAACTACATCATACAGTTTCAACTCTGAACACTTATGTCTATTTAATAACTTTAATCTTTCATGTTATTTCTCAGTTCTTAAATTAATATTCTATTACCAGACTGTCACCTACTAATGATAGCAGTCACTTAAATCTGTTTTTAAAAAACCATTGAAGAAAAAAATTAAAAGCACAAACAGCAGATGTTGAACAAAGAATAGCTTGTCCTACGGTTGGGGGAGAAACCAACTCATGCACTGAAAGCATAAACATATATCTGGCTTTGCTAAGTTCTGCACACTTTTTACTCCTAAATATTTGATCTGCAAAGCAAGTAGCATATCCTAGAACTATCCCTTCAGAAATGGACATATTCTACATTCCAGGGCTATTTTGGGCCCCACACTAACCCTCTCCTTTCACAGATGAAAAAACTGGGGCTTGAGAGGTAAATGCACTTTTCTAAGGTCACACAGATAGTTAGCAAT